GTGTGTGTGTGTGTGCGTGTGCGCGCCCGTACGTACGAGAAGACGTGCACGTACCACGAATACCAGCGCGACTCGACGTATCTCGCAGGAACTTACGCAGAAATCGTAACGAGATAATGCTCTCTAAATTGAAAATTTCGCTTCCACCGGATCCGCCGAATCTCACTCGTTGCTCGAAGGGAAAGCGGCTCGAACGAGTCGAAAGGGAACGCCAGAGACAGAGTTGAATTAACGACAGTCGGAAATCATTGTTCGCGAGTCAGATTGACGGCGAACGTGTCGGATTCCTGGCTTTTTTTTACATACACCGATGCCGATACACCCGTCAAGAAATCTTTTCGTGCACGTGCATATAACACATACGCGTTGAAAGTTTTCGCGAGTTTTGTTTATCACTTTGCCGTAGTAGTTCGCGTCGCCACAGTTGGCAGAGCGTACGTGCTCGATTCCACGTACGTATTTCTAATTACTAATTAGCAATGACTCAAGACACGCGCACTGGCATACCAATGATAAACGAACGTATTCAATAATTCGCGCGTATCCGCAGCTGACGTAGAAATACGTTCTACGTGTTTACTACGTGTTTCTAGATTTTACGATCAAGGGCAAAAGACATTCTAAAAACCGAGCATGGATTCTCTTCGAAACGTTATGTGCCGCCGTGTTCCTGCGGTCAGTAAATACGCTGCTCTGGCGACGGTGTTCGCCACACTCTGTTATTTCCTCCGAATGTAACTTCTCTCGTGTGTATTTTTGCTTGGAGGGATCACCGGTATGAAACAGCGTTTCTCGTATGTTTCACGAGGTGTAAATATTTACGCCGCTGGCCCTTGGGTATATTACATTGAAATTCCCCGAGAGAGAATGGTCGCCGCGGTTCTTTTCGCGTCGCGAGCCTAACCTCCGCTGTATTCTTGCGACGCCAGATTTTTACACTGTTCGTGACTTAACGTTGTGCACGATGATAAATGTTCGTCCACGTTTCTTTCTTCAGTACACGTAAACTCGGCACGTGTGCTATTCGTGGGAATAAAATATTCGGTCGCCTCGTCATAACCTGTACAATAGGTTATGTTAATACGCCGCGAGATCAATTCGGTAATCTTTAAATTTAACCACGGTCGCGGTCGTTTCGATTTCGTCCCAGGTCAAATTCGTACCAACTGCTCAAGAAAGAATGCAGCCACTTGACGAAATTTATTTAGTTTCGAGATACTATTCTGGACGTGATGGCGTGAATACGTGGCCTGCAGCCGGTAAGTAAATATGTACCTCTATTCTTTTTGCAACCACATTCACGATTATCACGTGTAACGAGGAAAAATTGCTCGAACACGTTCTCTCTCTGGACTCGCGCGAAAACATTGTGTTTACTTCGTCCCATCCGCGATCTGAAAATATCACGAATACGTATATATATATATATATATATATATTGATAAATAAATCCGAGCCCCCTCGTATCTATATGCTGGCGATTTATATTTCGTTCTCGCTCTCTGTTCTACTCTCGCAGCGGTTATCGAAATTCTTGACAAGCGAATTGCACAAACAACACGCAAATATATAACAGGCAAGTGTGTTGCCTCTTATCGTGTGCGTTCTTCTTATCTGTAGCGAAGGTCATTAATGGCAGAGATTTCAGCCGTTGGTGGGCGAAATAAGAAATTATTGGTACGAAAATAAACCGTACGAGGAGGAGGCCGTGGCACGAAACGTTGTCTTGCTTCTCTCAGTTCTTTTTTATCGACGCGATGTTCCTACAAAAAGGTATACAAAAAGGTATTGATCACGGGTGAAAGAAGTGAAAGAAAGTAAAGAGAAAAAAGGAGGAGAGGCATGGTTATCAAGAATGCCAACGGCTGCGAATTTTTATCATCCACGTGTACGTGTTGTGCGTGCACGTATACTGCGAGCAATAATCAACACCTACACGTGTACGTGTGTGCGTCCAAGTGAAAGATGGCCGCCAGTCGCGTCGGTTGAAAGTTCGATCGATATTGAAGATAGATCTATATTCAATTAACCTTAAATCGGAATTTTTTATTTTTTTATTTCTTCTTCTTTCAATTAAGTTTCTCACAAAAATAACACAACAATAAATTTGATATATTAAATAAAATAAATTTCCTTATTTTTTTTCTTCTTTCAATTAAATTTCTCACAAAAATAACACAACAATAAATTTGAAAACTCGATAAACTAAACGAAGGTTTGGAAATTCGAGAATTTCATAAACCAAAACGCTCAATGACGTGTTTTCCATGTTGGCCGATGAGATCTGGGAAAGTTAGTGGTAACTTTTCGAGCATTCCCACGGGCTTCGAGAGAGAGAGAGAGAGAGAGAGAGGAACATCCTCTATCTGGAGCACAAATAACAAAGAGTCGATTTTGCCCGGCTGTCGATTCGCGTGTGCTCGTGCGAGCGAAAAGCACGCGACGGCGAGCAGGCTCCTGGGACACCAGCGAAACGGGATACGTATTAGATTACGTTGCATAATTTTATCGGCGATCATAAAGCTGTTACGAAACGTGAGACTCCCAATTCTCTAACTACGTGAGCCATAAATAACGCGTGTTGGTCAAAATAACGTCAACCTATCAACTCCATCGCCATTGGACTATACCAATGGCGCGAAGGATACGCAGCTTTAATTTTTGTTGCTCTACTTTGCCACTTAACTTAACACTTTGTTGTCGGGTTTGCATAAATTTATAAAAATTCTGTCTTTCTACATCATCAAACAACTACTGTGAACAAAACAACCTGAATAGTAAGCTAATTGCGTTATACACAGTGAAGTGCCTTGAGCATTTTTTTTTTCTGTTTCGATTTGATTTCGAAAACAAAAACACACGTTGTTTCATCTGTAAAAAATTACCAAAAAAAAAAAAAAAAAATTCCGGCAAAAATGGGTTAAAGAGATATTTATTATTATTGTGAGAAAGTCATATGAGACACGTGCATCCTATAAAACTGAGATGACAATCAGCCGCCGGGACGGCGATACATTTTACAGTCCTGTCGGGCGTCAATATGCTTCGGACTGTAATAATCTCAGTCTCCCGACAGCAAAGTGTTAAAGTAACAATACGACTACATTGACGGATTACCAATTTTCGTGTCGAGATATACGTTCT